AGAGTGTGACTGGCCCACCACTGGGTTTCCTATCATGGGGTTTTCTTGTCTGATTTCTTCAGGGGGGGTTGCCATTGCCTTCCTCTGAGGCTGAAAGAGTGTGACTCGCCCACTGAGTTTCCTATCATGGGTTTCCCTTGGTGAGTTTCCTTCATAAGTGGGTTGGCCGATGCCTTGTTCTGAGGCTGAGTGTGACTCGCTCAAGGGTCACCCACTAGGTTTCCTCTCATGAGGTTTTCTTGGCGAGTTTCCTTCAGAAATGGGCTGGCCATTGCCCTCCTTTGAGGCCGAGAGAGTGTGACTCACTCAAAGTCATCCAGTGGGTTTCCTATCATGGGTTTTTCTTGATGAGTTTCCTTCAGAGGTGGGTTGGCCATTGCCTTCCTCTGAGGCTGAGAGAGTGTGAGTCACTCAAGGGTTACCCATCGGGTTTGCTATCATGACAAAATTTCTTCAGAGGGGGTTTGCGATGGCCCTCCTCTGAGGCTGAGAGAGTGTGACTCACCCACTCGGTTTCCTTTAATGGGGTTTTCTTGGTGTGTTTCCTTCAGAGGTGGGCTGGCCATTGCCCTGCTGTGAGGCTGAGAGAGTGTGACTTGCCTAAGGTCACCCACTGAGTTTCATGGCCAAGCTGGGAATCAAACCCTGGTCTCCAGAGTTGTAATCCAGCACTCAAACCACTACAAGAGGGGGCATCTACACTATAGAAATATAATGCCATCCTATGGAATCCCAGGATATGTAGTTTTAGAAGGGGTTCATCCTTCCTTGCCCAAAGAGTGCTGCCAATCCCAGGATTTTGTATTGGTGTCAAACTACACTATTCAGGTCATTTCCAATGTATTGGTACCCTAAGGTGAATCTGTCATGGGTTGTTGGAGTTTTTTTGGCAAGTTTCTTCAAAAGGGGGGGGTTTAGACATTGTCTTCCCCTGAGGCTGAGAGAGTGTGACTTGCTCAAGTTCACCCAGTGAGTTTACATGGCAGAAATGGGATCTGAACGTAACCTCCAGAGTCACAGCCCAACGCTCAAAACACTACACCATGCTGACATTTTCCAATGTCAAAAAACTCCCCCCTCCCAAATTTCTTCTCCCTCTGATTATAGGGTCCCCATAAGTAAAAAGAAATGACTTAGAGGTACACAACAACAACAACCACACATTATGATCAAGTATCCCCTTTTGTTTTTCACATTTCCAACATATATTCAAGGTACATTTGTAGGTATAGACAATTTCTCAGGTGTCATATACCAATGGTACATTATTCCATGAAAGTTCTCTTTTAAATCATAATATAAAGTAAATGATAGCTCCTTTGGTCATCTCCTTTCCCATTGTTCCATCTGTATATTATATCCAAAGTGCTTAGTCCATTTTATCATACACGTCCAAAACACACTGCAGAAATAATCCAGTTTGAGATCCCTTTAACTGCCCTGGCTCAGTGTTAGGGAATCCTGGGAATTGTAGTTTATTTGGCACTAGAACTCTCTGATAGAGAAGGCTAAATGTCTCACAAAACTACAGTTCCCAGAATTCCCTAGTATTGAGCCAGGGCAGTTAAAGCGGTCTCAAACTGGATTGTTTCTGCAGTGTGTTTTGGACCACAGTCTTTGAACGGATCAGTCATGGTGGGCTCCTGTTTCATCCTAGCACAGTTCTTAGGTGTAGTAGTAGTAAATCAAAACAATAATTTTGGATTTATTTCCTGGTTAGTCCTTGGATAGGAGACTGCCTATGAAAACCCTGTGAAAAGTCATGATAGGATCATCATAACTTAATAGGTGGCTTTAAGGCGCATGCGCGCACACAGCCCTTTTAACTTGCTGCAGCAGAAGCAGCTGTTGTTGTTGTGTACCTTCAAGTTGTTTCCAACTTATGGTGACCCTAAGGTGACCCTGTAATGGGGTTTTTCTAGCAGCTTTCTTCAAAGGGGGATTGCCTTTACCATCCTCTGAGAGTGTGTGACTTGCCCAAAGTCACCCAATGGGTTTCATGGTCGAGCCAGGATTCGAACCCTAGTCTCCAGAGTCATAGCCCAGTGTTCAAACCACTGCACCACAGTGACTCCCTAGCAGAAGCAGTACCACTTTGAAAAGCATCATATGGATTAACTTTTAAATATTGGCACAAACTTTTGTGGGCTGCAATCCACTTGGAAACTTTTCCTCTCCTCTCCTTGCACACCTGATTTTAGAAATGAAATCTTGCTTAATGTTAAGAAGATTATTCTAGCATCATTATAGGTACAGTTTTTAAAAATCCTACTTATTTTTTGTTGTTACCATAACTGCCCTCGAATCAGTCTCGACCCATGGCGACCCTATGGATGAGACATCTCCAAGACCC